GCTACCAAAAATAAAATTTAAAAAATAGAAAAGTTCAGCCATGGGGGTTAATTTCTTTGAAAACACTGAAATTATGTCATAAAAATTTTGGGCAAGAAAATGATCTGAACTGCCCAAGAAACAGTTTTTAAAAGTATAGACATTAGATATATACCCTCTTTTTCCTTCAAAAGTTTAATGTTAGGGAAGACCTCTCCCCAGCCAAATGTGCTTAACTATTACAATGGCAAAGGTGAGCAGCCTCAATATGGCCATCACTGCACAAGATGAAGGACTTCTTGCTCTCTCCTTGTTGACATTTCTGAAACTCTTTGGCATCCTTGTTTTATTCTTCTATTTTTCCTCTGAGACATCAATGGAACATTTCATAATTTTTCATTTTTATAAAAAGGAAACAGCAAAGAGTATGAGTTAAGGCTGGAGTGACTGAAAGCAAGTTTTGGACAAATTTCTTCCACATAAGCTCTGGCATTCTACCTCAGGAGTGACCTCTAATGTCCTTCCTATTATTGTGTTGGGTGTCTCATGAGAGAAGACTACCATCTTGCCAAGTTGTAAAGGAGTTTGGTCATGTGAATCTGCTTCTCTGAGGGGTGAGGATAAGACCACCCAGAGTCTGTTGACTTGTGCCTTAATCCAAATTTTAAACAAAAGGAGCCGAGGCTGCATGCAAGTCAACAGTGTTAAAACTGTATCTTGGCGCTTCACATACTGACTGTGAAACAATATCAGGCACAAAGCCCTCAACCTGTATGAACTCAAGTGAAAATAAGTGACCAGTAAATGTGCCCCTAACGGAACTCCACAAAGGGTATAACAGTCAAGACTTCAGTGTAAAATGAAACTGACTGATTCAAATTTATGTCAACATCAGTAGGATATTGGAAATACTCTGTCTCAACACAAATGCTTGCAATCTTTAACTGCAATTTGTTCCCCAGTTTCTGTGCCTGCAATAAAAATACAACTATATATATATTTTTATTTGCAGTTGGACACAATACCTTTATTTTATTTATTTATTTTTATGTGGTACTGAGGCTCGAACCCAGGGGCTCATTTGTGCTAGGCAAGGGCTCTACCACTGAGCCACAACTTCAGCCCCAAATACAACTCAGCAGATGATCAAACTGAACATGAGAGAAGATTATCACTATTCAGAGTGAGGATGAAACGACTAATGGCTTTCAGGAAGGTTTGCACTGGCAGCATGCAGCTGATAATTATACCTTCTCTTCTAGATATGGAGGAAATGAGAAACTATTTATTTTTCAGATTCCAGTGTTTACAAGGGAAATTAGGTTTCAGTACAGTCAAGGAAGAAGAAGAAGAGATATTTTGAAATTACCTTTAATAGACTAAAAAGGTCAAACAATTTCTCTGCTCTCTTAGATTAGCTTTATCCCTACCTGTATATTCAGGGTTAATTTAAAACAACAAAACAAAAACAAAACAAAACAAAAGGATAAGGACAATCTACAAAGAGACAAGAAAAAAGAACAAAGAGAACCAAAATCATAGCACAGAAAAAAGACCAAGCCCAAATCAGGGTGGTCTATGACTTGGGGTGTGTTTGAAAAAAAAAAAAAAAGCTCATCATTAATTTCTAAACAGATATTAAGTAGATAAGGGCAAAAAGACAGAAAACTTCTCTGTGTTTGATTCCCTATGGCCATAGAAGGATAACCAAAAATCCAACCTAATGGGATATACTATGCTTTCTTCATTCCAGGCAACTAGTTGGATTTTATCATGGGATGGGGGTAGGACATCATATCAGGAGGCTGAACTGATAAGCTGGGAGTTTGTCATTGCACAGGAAACACTAGGAAGCCATCTTTTCAATTTTTCTGTATCTGATCATCCCTGAAATGACTTATGAGTCTTCCTTTTTTCTTCCCAAGTTTCACTCAATCTCCACCTGGGAATATATAAAAAAGGGAGAATCATTCTCTGATTGTCCTTTTGTACTTAATGATATGCCACGTGTACTGCTCCTAATGATTGCATGTGTTTAGCTTATCTTCCTAGTGAGAGTGTATGCACTATAGGTTCAGTTTCTCTTGCATTCTCCATGGCAACTACCATAGTACCAGGAACTTATGTCAGAATAGGTATTTAAAATACTGGTTTCTCTGTAAAAATTGTGGTACTAGAACTGATCTTGTGAACAATCTACTTCCCACCACTCACATTGTATATGAAGATCCTGAAGTATGGAATAGTCATGTGGCTTGGCCAAGCTCACATCTACTCAGGGAGCATCAGGTCCATCATTTGATCTGTCAGGAATGAGGAACAGACTGAAGTGAAAACCATTGGCCTGTTTTCTGAGAGGCATTCTAAACATGAAGAAATGAAGTCAGAGAATAAAACTTCAAATACAGGCTAAAACATCTTCAGAATCAGTAACACTTTTATTTAGAAGCTTTCTCTCTGCAGCTGATACAATCGTGAGCTGCCTGGTGGTTCCACTGAACAGCATGTAGTAAATTCAAACCACTCTTTTGAGAATCATGGAATGTGACAGAAGCAAAACCCAGAGAACTAGGCATTGATACAAGGAGAAAACAATGCTACTTAAGGAGTGAACAGGACAGAAAAAGTTTTGGTGAAAATTGATGAAGGAGAAAAGGTTTCTAGGTTTCAGCACTGCGAAAAGCAGAGTGATTTCTAAGTCCAGGGTGGCTAAAAGTTGGGTGAAGAAAGTATGGGATGGAATGGAAATGGGCCTGAAATGGCAGTGGGTGCAGAAGGCCTTCGGTCTTCCATAGGAGAATAACTAATTCCACTGTTGCAAGATCATGTTGGTAATGAAAAGAAATGACTAGAAAGAGGCTGTAGGAAGGAACACCATTTATTTGGTCATATACTAAATAAAAGGAACTGATTCTTTCCAGCCTTTCTAGTGACAAATTAAATTAATTTTTTTTCTAAATCAGTTGGTAACTTCCCTAAATTGAACCTCATCTTTTCATTATTTACTTTCAAATTCTAAGAGCAATTGATTTGAATTTCCCTAACAATGCATTACAAAGTTTGGGCAACTGTAAGATAGGATTGAGAGGGCTGTAGTGCCTTGAGACCACAACAAATGAATATCATTTCCCTGTTCAAAAATGATCATCAGTTAACAGTGCCTCGCCAGCAGACAATACAACTTAGCAGTTCTAGCATCCACAAAAGGTCTGGCATTTAAAGGCATCAACAATTGCATAATAAAATATTTTTCAAAATCACAAAAACCCATATTAGAAAGTTAAACAACCAGCTTAAGCATTTAACGGTCCAAGAGAAATCAGTGGGAGGCTGAGGTTGTGGCTCAGATGTAGAGTGCTCACCTAGCATGTGTGAGGCACTGGGTTTGATCCTCAGCACCACATAAAAATATTGTATCCAAAACATAGGAAAAGAAGAACTCAAATTTACCCTATTTGCTGATGATATGATTCTATACCTTGAAGATCCTAAAAGTTCCACCAGAAAATGCCTAGAACTAGTAAATGAATTCAGAAAGTAGCAGGATATAAAATCAGCACCCATAAATCAAAGACATTTCTATATATCAGTGACAAATTCTCAGAAAGGGAAATGAGGAAAACTACCCCATTCTCAATAGCCTCAAACAAACAAACAAACCAAAAAACACTTTGGAATCAACTTAACGAAAGAGGTGAAAGATCCAAATAATAAAAATTATAGAACCCTAAAGAAAGAAATCAAAGAAAACCCTAGAAAATAGATCTACCTTGCTCTTGGATAAGGAGAATTAATATTATCAAAATGACCATACTTCCAAAAGCACTATACAGATTTCATGCAATTCTGATCAAATTCCAATGACATTCCTCATAGAAATAGAAAAGGCAATCATAAAATTCATATGGAAAAATAAGAGACCCAGAATAGCTAAAGCAATCCTTAGCAGGAAGAGTGAAGCAGGTGGCATCACTGTACCAGATCTTAAACTATACACCTGAGCAATAGTAACAAAAACAGCATGGTATTGGCACCAAAACAGACTGGTAGACCAACGGTACTGAATACAGGACACAGAGACTAACCCACAAAACTACAATTATCTTATATTAGACAAAGGTGCCAAGAA